GTATAACGTCGGCAAGAATAACTACCTGACGACCATGCGTAGCCTGTGCGTGTAGTAAATAACAGAAAGAAAGGCAAACGCAGCACTGGTCTCGACCGCATCAGACAAGTGACTGGCCAACACGATGGCCAGGTGCTGGAGATGGGGGCGAAAGTGGAGTGGACAGCTCACCAACACTTTCCCCACTGTGAACAAGCTGACGCGCTTAAAGCCGTGGCTTGGAAGGTTTCCAACTGACGGGATAACTCAGAACGCGCAGTCAGTCCAGTGTGTGTTGTATAGAGTGGCTGGCTGGCGGACTGAGAATCAGGCTGCAATGGCTCCTTCTTAATGCGGATTCTATGGCACTCCCACCCAGACTGGATCAGAGCTAGGTGTGGCGGCACGCTTAGGGGCGGCTCCGGCTGCGCCTGCTACATGCACCTCTTCCATTTGCGGTCTTCTCAACTTCGTCTTGACACCGGACCTAGGTAGGAGAGTCAGGTAGATGCATCGAAAGTCACCATTTTGTGAACCACGCGGTGGACCTCGTCGAAATTGACCATCGAACTGGTGGTTTCAACAGCTGTCCACTCATCTTTACTGGGTTACATTGGTAATGCGGAATCAAGACGACTAATGACGAGATTGGGTGCTCTGACCGACTCGCCATTTAGACCTGACAAAGTATAGGCGCGCTACTGCGTATGACGACACATTCACCAATTATGGGGGAGGGGGGAGAGCGCAGCATACATACACGAGTAGAAAATAGCGATGTATCTACTGCTATAGACAAGGATCGTTGCTCTTGTGTTGCTGATGAGGTTTAAATTTAAACCTCCTTTGTAACTGTTTGGCCTGATGAGAAGTTACTGAAAGCGTTCGCTCGCCAAAATTGTGTTCTAAAATACAGTAGCTTGTATGTACAGTAGGTTGGAAGGATTACTTCTTGTCCAGGGAGCAGATTGAAGTCTAAGTGGTTTATGGGTCCCGCACCCAAGTCCTTGCCGTTGGTGCATTATATCATTAAAATAGAAAAACATTCTTGCCACTATTTTGAAAATAAATAATTAGCTTTCCCGTCTTATCTGTCAGTTAGATGTCTTGCAAATAACAAACAAACAAACAAATTTCTGCGGCCATACTGGGGTTGGGTATCACTAGCCGATGACGCCTAACA